GATATCAGGCCCCATCTCAAAGCTTTTAAACTAGAACTTAATCTGTTTGCTGAGCAGCTAGCTAAGAACAACTTGTCTCATTCTCCAAGGTTAAATGAAAAGAAGCTTAAGAATTATAAAGATGGCTTGAAAAAAACTACATTTTGAGTTCGAACGCGGATTTTAAGATTTCGGTGTCATTCAAACAGAATTGGATATTTTTACCATGCCTTTTAATATAAATTGTGAAGCAGTAAGGTCAGATTTGCAGCTTGAATTAATTGAGTTTCAATCTAAGAATCATCTCAAGCAGTTGTTTCTAAGTATGCCAAAGTTAGAGTTTTGCAAATCATTATCAAAAGTAAGTTTCCCAAATTTAATATCTCATGCCCAAAAAATCAGTGCTATGTTTGCTTCATTTTATATATGTGAACAAGTGTTTTCAACTATGAACCTTAGAAAGAATTATTTCAGAAATAGACTGACTGATGAGCATTTAGCCTCATTCCTTAGAATCAGTATATCTCGCTTCGAACCCCAATATAAGGAACTTTTGAACTTTTTGAAAATGAAATCGCAATTTCATTCATCTCATTAACGTATTTAAATATTAATACTTGTATATTGCTTTTAAATTAAAATTTATCTTGGTCCACCAAACTTTTTTTTTTTTTTGGTTTTTGGCCAGCAACCGCAAAAGTTTGCCCATCGCTGGTATGGTGGTGACAATGGTGGTGTATGCTGATCTACTCATTTGTCAATTATCAGCTAGATGTGTTTGGTGGGTGACATTGGAAAATAGGGAGATCAAGGCAACAGTGTGACCTCTTGGACAATAAAGAATTGCTGAGCTTCGTATGTCCCATACTGTCATGTAGTACCTTGTTGAAACTTAGCCACAGGCAAATGTTGAAAATAATTGACATGCTTCTAAATGTTTCAGATGCAGTAGTGGTTGTTAAGTGGCAATACATGTATGGAAAGTGCAGAAATAACATCTAGTCCCCCCCCCACCCCAAAATCATAATTTGAAGTGCTGGACTGATAAGTTGTTGTATATTGCAAAGTTATGATATCTGTCGCTGTGATGCCACTGGATTCCATCCTGATGTTGTAAACAGAATCAAAACTGGTCTAAAAAGACAGAGTCATGCCAGTCATTATCCATGTCCAGCATACAGCACTTTGTTGCAGCTGCATGTATCTGTTATATAGAGTCAGTGGCAGCTGCAGCAATGGATGCTTTTTTAAGATTTCCCTTTTCAGCAAACAATGTTAAATAGCACCTACTAACACAGGGAATTATGGTCTGTTCTTGCATTAGGGTTCTTGATATTGCTGTGTGATCCGTCATTGCCACATATGCAATATTCCTGTCCTCTTATTTCATAGTGTGCAGTCACAGTTGTTAGTCTGTCCATCCTACACCCACTGAGTCTTTATCTGCATCACTATAATTTTATCCAATACAAATACTGATTTCTTAAAAGGTTAATCTGCAGTTTCTATAAGCTACATATTTTGCTCTGTCAAGTAGAAACTAGCTTGAATGATTGCCCCTCCACTTTTTTGATAAAGCCAGTTTTTCTATGAAACCTTTTTTAACTGACAAACAGTGGAAAAACAACATAATTCCAGTATTTAAATCAGTCTATTGTTACTTTTTATGTGCTTTTGTAGGTGATGCTACTGATGCATAATTTTCATGTGTGCTGCAGTGTTAACAATCATATTACAGTGCAGTGTCTTATTACAGACTATACATAGTGCAAATTTTAAGCCTATTGTTTGTTTCTGTCATGATGTTGTGTTTTGGTTGATCAGTAATGGAATTGAGAAATTTCTTTGCCCCCTTTTCCTCTTTCTTTCTTTTCTTTTTAATCTAAAGAGGCTAAAACTGCAGATTTTCTGACAAAATTTCAGATTCATACTTGACAGTTTCACAGTCTTATCAGTGTATTCACATCTTATAAATATTCATATTTTACTTATTCATATCTGTAAGACTTTGTTGAACTTGTTGATATAATTTAGAAACTTTATTTTTAGTGTTAAAATTTAAATTGAATGGATTGATTGTAGGTGTGCCAATAGATATTTTGTTATTAAACTAAAATTTTCTTTATCAATGCATGTAAAATAATATATGTCTATTCAAAACTACCTCTCCTTAGCCTATAGAGAGCAAACTGCATACTTTGGTAAATATTTAAGTTTATAGTTCAAGTTTGATGGGCTGTGGATAATACCACAGAACACTGGTAATTCGAGCTGGATTTAAATCTGGCAGATGACTGAGCAAAACCATATTGTGTAGTGTAAATACGAGCCAGTTTCTCTTTGAAGATACTTCACAAAGGCATCACTCACCTTGGGCAGATAGCCCTAGCAATTTTTTTTTAAATAATAAAATTTTCATAGTCAAATAACTAAAAGCTCTAATCAGATATTTATGTAAATAAGGAGATAAATATTAGATATTTTTAAAACAGGCAAAGTTAAACTCTGGGTTAGCATTACGTTCAGTTATGGAGGCTTCGTGACTTTTGAGAGTCAAATTATAAATTGAGAAGCAAGTATTGTAGACAGTCTTAAGGAAATTTTAAGATTGTCCTCAGGAATATTGAAACATCATAAAAAGTGTTCATTATCATATTAAAGATACTCATGTTTCATGCTTTCTGATTCTTCTGTTTTCATGTATTACTTTATGCCTTTTCTTAATGCCTTTTGAAAGGAGGCATACAGTGCCAGGAGAGCACAGATTCTGAGCATAAATGCTGTTGAAGCAGATGATATCAGAATGTCTCATGCAGTGTGAAAGCAGTAAGATAGTACATTTAGTTATAACATCAAGAAATTAAAGTTGGTTCTTATTTCAAAGGTAATTTTGGGTTTTATGTTTGCCAATATTTTATGGCTTTTCTAAATACATTAAAATGTGGATAAACATTGTTGGAAAAGGATGACTTTATAAGTGTTCTTAGAGCAAATAGCATTAAAAATCTCATATGATATGAAAACAGTAGATGTAATGTATTCATTTGGTAATTAATAATATCAGCCAGTGTTGTAGCTTATTAACAGATGTGAACAAAACACTGTGCGGTAAAACTATTGTAATTCTTAAGTTTCAAATTGGATATAGAAGCTATATTAGCAGAATAATATAAATTAAAGTTCAAATTTTGACACTGCGATGTTTATGCTTCCAGTCGTACAAAAATGCTTGAGGAACATCTGTAGCTCATATTTCAGCTTTGCAGATGATATCAGGAGCTACACTGATTATATCATGGAAAGGGAAGTAAAGTATACTACATATAATTTTATTCAAATGCATACATAACAAAACAGGTTATAAATTTACAAAACAAAATTGAAAGTAAAATGTGTATAGAGTGAGTGCAACATTTATTTTTTAGATATATGGGCAGCAGAGTGTTTGATTAGCTAAGCCATTTTGGGATAATAAAGAAACACGCTTTTGTTTGATCAAATGAATAATTTATTTTTAGGTATTAAATAGAATAGTTGTTGAATTATCAAATACTGTACATCTGGTTTGAATATGTTTGAATTAATTGAGGGTAGTCTACTTTTTGAAGGGGAGGGAGTGCATGTGCTTGTGCTTTTTTAAGTTACAGGTATTATATTGTTGCATGTGTACAGGTTTGTAATGCAATGAATGCGCACAGAACTGATGATAGCAGATAAAATTTATTTTACAAAAAGAAACACTTTACAGTTCTGGAACTTTTCACAAAAATACTCGTACAGCTCTTCTCACTGTCACAGAGCACAATGAGTAGTCATACTTCAGACTACTAAGAATGTTAAGTACGACACAATGCTAAGCGCATCTGAAGAGAGAAGCTCACCTGGAGATATCTTGATGCTCCGAAGTTGATTCTGAACTGAAAAATGAGAACTGATGCAATTTTACCTCAGCCAGGAAGAAACCTCTAGGACCTTCCATTTCTCGAAATTGCTAGAAGGCATGTACAGTTAAAGTTACATATAAGGGCTGGTTACTATTTCAGTTACACTTAGTGATCAATCACAGTTATTCAATTATAGTACCAGTTAGTTACGCATGGACTGGAACAAAATGTTATCGAATGGTCACAAAATTTGTCGACAAAAATTAGTCACCATCAGCCAATTTAATGAGGTAGCCATTTACTCAGTGGTAAATAGACTTGCACTTATAATCTTATTTTTCCCACAAAGCTTTGCTTATTTGTGTTGCATTGACTTTTCGTGTTACATTTTACAAAATTTTAAAATAAAAAGGTGTTCATTTTATGGCTATAAAATTACTCTTTGCTTCAGAATTTGTCATACATTAATGTTAAAAATATTCACTTATTTAGACTTTAAAACTTGCATTTCAAATTTATTTCATGATTTGAGAAATTATGTAACATTTTGTACAATGCACAATCCATGCTACTTTCTTTGTTAAATGTTAATGTGTTATGTTAAATGTGTACTAGTGTTTTTTCTTCATGGATAATTTTTAAACAGAAAAACTTTGAAATATGAGTATATTTTTTAATTTTTCATAAAATTTTATATATCAACTTAGGTTTCAAATTATTTTTATAATTAATAATTAATTAATTGATAATTGATAATTAATTTAATAATTTAAAAATATTTTCATATTCGAAATATATTTTCTAGTAATCTATTTCATTACTTTCATAGTTAAAGCTTATATTTTGGTATATCTTGTACATGAATGCTGGATTTTTGGCTGTGTTTAGATAATAATAATTTTGAGGAAAGGGTTTTAAGGAATCAAATTCAGTTGTTTTACGTTGTTTTATTGAATATAATTAAAAAATTTTCCTTTATAGTGACAACTTTTTTAATGGTAAGAAATATATTTTATATTTTTCCCATGCAATAAAAAATCTGTTATTTTGTGTTTGATCATATTATTCACAGTAATTATATTAAAAAAATTATTTGCATAAACATTTATAAATGTAAATTAATTTGATGTATTTCAGAATGAAATGGAATATGATCTGGGAGATGAAACTTGGAACTTCATGTCTAGTTTCTCACCATATAACTGTGAATTGGCAATGTTTCAGGTTTGCAAATGAATTTTTTTTATTCTTATGATTATATTGCTTAATTTCAAATGAATCCAGATTTCTAGTATCTTTTAAGTTATGAAGTCTTTCATTATTTGTAATGTGAATTTTAACATTTTGATAGAACTTGTATTTTAAAAATTAATTCATCTGTAGCATTTTTCGGATCCTACGTTGTTTGCTTTTGAAGTAGCAGACATAAAAAACAAAAAAGAAAATGATGGAACTGTTATAGAAGAAAAGGTACAAGAAGCAGAAAAAATTGTAGATTCTTTAGAGCAAGTAAATGAGCAGCGCACTGAGAGGTATGAAAAAAATCTTAGTGCATTTTCTTTTTATATGTTATATTTGTCATCTTGTTTTTTCTATGTTTCACAGCTTATTAACCTAGAGATTTAAGAGAGTTTATCATGTTATTGGATGAATATTTTATATTTGGATAAATGTTTTTAAGGTTACATATTCTTAGTTTAAAAAAAATAATATTAAGAATTTATATCCTTTTACATGCTAACAATTTCCTTTAGTTAAATACTTAAAATTTATATTTGTTTTGGGGGGAAGAGAGGGAGCCTTACCATTTTCAGAAAAGTAATACAGTACAAAGTCTGTAATCCGGACCTCAAAGCTACAAACTTTTTACGCATGCGTAAATGCATAATGCGTTTAATGTATAATGAGCGGTATAAGCTAAGCTAAAATTATCTAAGGCATTTCAGTTAATGTTGCACATTGTGCTGTTTCTTAATCTTCTAATTGGATCTGGCTTATTATTTTTTGCAGACTGTTAGAACAATTTTATAAATTTAAGCTTGAACTTTTGATTATGTCAAAAAGAGTTTCCATTTCTGGAGCTGCCAAAGGATCTACAAAGTGAAAGCATGTTTTGATGTCCATTAAACAAAAAGTGGAATTGCTACAAAAAGTGGATAAAGGCCTATGTGTCTCAAAATTATGCAAGAAGTATGGCATTGGAAAGTCCACTATATATGACACAAGAAAAAAAGGACTTTTTGAATTTTTTGTGGAAGCATCTTAAACAACTTACATTGAAAGAAATGTTTAATAAAGTAAACAAATAAATATTAAGCTTTTTTTTGTAAATTTTGATATCCTTTAGATCATAATTGTTCTTTATTTCATAAACTATGATTTCATATTTTTAATTGTATAATTTCTGCATGCCACCTTACCAGATTTAAATTGATGATCTATAATCCGGAATCGCTGAAGTCCCGACGAGTCCGGATTATGGATACGTGTCCCTCTATTGACATGGCACTCGTTAACTTGATTTCGGTTTTACACGGTTTAAAAATTAGCGGATTTCAAAAACTTGGTAAAAATGTATATTCGGCTGTATATATGCAAATACATTTATTTTTGAATTTATTTTGAAGTCATTTTTGAATCTTATTCCTTTGGTAACACAACAGCAAGGATGGGGATTCTCTGTGTTGTAAAAGTTGGAATCCCTATCCTTGTTGTTGAGTCCCCGTAGTATGTACATGTATTTCACAACAGTAAAGCTATCTGGTTCATAATAAGTAATGTGAACTAGTGCAGTATCAGTATTATAGCAGGAAAGCTTACATCATTTTTACATTAACTGAAATTCCTTAGATAATTTTAGCCTAGTTGAATTGATTTTTGGTCCTTAAAAAATAAAGCACAGCTTCAATGTTCTGGATAGAGCTTCAAAGTGTATTTTGTGGACTTTTGTTTTAAAGTCCTTAATTTTGGCCACAATCAGCAGAAGGTCTTTAATTTTAATCATCTGAAATTTCTGTTTTTACGACTGCTATTTTGAGTGTGAGTTTTGGAGGAATATTTTTGGCAGTTCACTGACGTATATGGTTATCTTTTGAATGGGTTCATGGGTTATAATTTGTTTCTATTTCTAATATAAATGATGGGATACTCGAGTTTCTAAGCAAGAAGTGAAACATAAGCATTTCGAAATTCATTTTTTGTAATAAAGAGTTCTTAAACAACTTTTCGCTTTTGGGGTTGTGAATTCTTTTATTAAATGGTTCTAAATTTGACAACTTGTCAACATTTTGGGGATTTTAAGATCATTTTCTATAGAAAATTTTTAATTCCAAGATCTGAGAATGTTTTGGCGATTTTTTTTTTAAAACATCATAACATTGATAAATTTCATTAAAATAATGGTAATATATTAGAATTATATTTAAAAAATAACATTAAAATAAAACATTTTTATTTTTTGCTGTCATATTATAAAGTTTCATTTTGGCAACATTTATACAACAATTATACAATATTTTAAATCTGAAAAATAAACAAGGTATATAGCTATAAAGCATAATTTATGAAACAGCTCTTAGTAAAAGCAAAATTAGCTATGTAATTAATTAAAATGTCTTCTTTTTAATTTTTTCATAGTAAGCGTTTTTCCCATGTAATTGTCTCAGATTACACCATCCAACACCCATCAAGTGAAACTTATTCTTTGCATCTACTGAGACTTATATATAAAACAACTTATCACTTCTGGCGCTTTAATGGCTTAAAGTATATTAACTGGGTTACAACCCCTGGATTTTTACACAAAGCTATGACATTAACTATATTAAGCAGAGCTTGACTAACTTTCAACACTTGCCAACTGTGCCTACATCAGGCCTTTCAGGTTTATTCCAATCAGCAGGTCTCTCTATAGACAAGCAGCAGAGGAACAACATTCAATCTTTTGTTATGAATCATGTGGATTATGATCTCAATTCTCATTTTCACCTATGCCGTTTGACATAAAATCTCCCTACTATTTGCTAAACCTCTAGACTGAAAAAAAAAAAAAAAAAAAAAAAAAAAAAAAAAAGCATAAAGCTAACTATTAGTAAAACGTAAATGTCTCTTATCTTCTTTTAAATATGTCCAACTATTATAAGTGTAAAATATTTAATACTACTTGATAAACTGCATGAAGTTTATTTTATTCTCAAACTTATTAATAATTATGTTAGTTAATTCATGTTTGGGAATAATACATATTACTTAGGGATCTATTTTAATTTTAGGATGGTATTACAAAAGTGAAATTCAGGCATAGAATAATATTTTTAATTGAATTTATTCAGTTCCCATTTGCTCATAGGTCCTTAATCTTTCTCATTAATGGTCCTTAAAAGTCCTTAAAGTACTTAATTTCCGTGCGCAGAAACGTTCTAGAGTGTTTTGCAGTTCCTTCGTAAGTGGCCTTTCACACCACAGTTCCAGCACTTTTAGAATAAATTTTTTGTTACTTTCGTCTCAAGGCCTTGAGTTATCTGGTTAAATAGTCTGTCTTATTGTTCATGTCCAGTGGTATTCTGCAGTTCTTTTATACGTGGCCTTCGACACCACATTTCCAACATTTTAGAGTCAGTTTCTTCTCACTCCTACTCCATGTCAAAGCATTGACTTGTCTGTATAAATCATCTAAATAAGCGATCAATTGATCCACTGGGCTCGTGGACTCGCACAGCTCTGACTGGGTAGCGATCTCAACAAGTTGCTTGCTGGGCTGCCTCGAATTTCATAATGTACAGTAGAGCGCTTTTTTTACGTCCTCGACATCCATCATTCACAGAGCTTTCTGTATTTTGGGATCCCAGATGCCCTCTATAAAGTACTGCAGGAATGGAATTTCCCTTGTGTCTTTCAGGCACTCGATAAAGGCGAGGTGAGACAAGCCCTTCAACATCATGGCGAGCTCCTGGAGTGTTTCGGTGGTCTTCTTTTTGACAGGATTTTAATTGAAGCCTGCTGTAGTCTTTCAAACATTTCTTCCCAAATTGCAGCTCCAACATGCTGGAAAGAGCATTGAAATCTGGCCTTTGGTTTTCGGGAAGAGTCTTAAAGATATCTGCTGTGTCTGCTTTCAAAGAAGCAGCGAGATGACAGGCCTTAGCTTGGGAATCCCATCCATTTGCATCCACCACTATAAAAAATTGTGTCTTGTATACTTGCCAGGAGGTCTTCCCATCATACATGGATAGCTTCGTTGACGAACAAGCAGGCATGGGTAGAAATTTAAAACCATCTGAATTGCTCCCTGCCATCGCTACGAATTTCTTTTAAACTTCTTTGGCAACCAATGAAACCTTGTCATCAATTTGTTGTTATGCGGCAGAAACTCTGTCTTCTATTTGTTCCTTGACAGATGAAACCTCTTCAATTTGTCCAACTTTATTTTCAACCATGTCTATTGTGTTTTCCATAGCCTCAAATTTATTTTCCATTGAGCAGGTAATTTCTCTTTATTTCTTCTTGACCTCCTTCTATATTTTCTTAACTAGCTTCCATCTTTCTTTAATGGATTCATGTCCCGCTTTAATCTCTTGTTTAAAGGATGCTTGTCCAGCTTCCATCTTTTCTTGGAACGTGGTAAAAGCAGTGATGAGCTGTCTCAATTTTTCTTCCATTGCTCTTGTAATTGGCATTCAAACCCCACTCCTGACACCAAAAAGTGTTGCGTTTGAACAGGTTCATAATAGATTGAATGCACAAATCTGATTAAAAGTTAATAAAATTTATTCTTATCACAAGAAATAAAACAAATTGCTGAAATTATTTTTCAAAAAAATATTGGTACAATATCACACAGTAGTTATATTTTTAACTACTAAAACATTAAATACAACACAATCGAAAGTGCAGAGAAAGCTAATCCAATCTCACAGTGAATTTGCTACAATGAATAAGAACAACTAAGTAAACAACTGAGCTGAAATGTTTCTGTCCGGCTTCTATTTAAATTGGCCACGTGAGATAGTTCTAGCAAGTTCTGGAAAGAAAAAAAGAGTAGAATTAAGGTTACAGTTAGCACAAGAGTCAATTATATTTATTCAATGTAAATATAAATAAATGAGATATTTATTTATGAAATGTTCACTACACATGCTGTTGTATTTTTAATTTTCTGGTGTAGCTTTCCCTTAAAATTTTCATGTGCTGCATTGAATGAGGAAATAAAACAATTTTAATTATAATTCTACTAAAAATAGCTAACTAAATACAAAATCTGTAGCAATGTACACTGCTTGACATTGAAAAATGCAACACCAAGAAGGAGTGATCAGAAAGTGATGAAATTTAGAAAAAAGAGACAGCAAGGAAGCAATAAGTGATCTTTATTTCAAAATGATAGAATACAGAGCGAGAATGGCGTTGCCTCAGTAGGATGTAGGACCACTGCGGACAGCCATGCACGAAGAAACGCGTCTAGGCATAGAGTCAATAAGAGTACTGATGGTGTCCTGAGGGAGGGCTCTCCATTTCCTTATAACCATTTGCCACA